CCGTGTAAACCAAACACTCTGTAAACTGGAAGCCTGTGTAAACCAAACACTCTGTAAACTGGAAGCCTGTGTAAACCAAACACTCTGTAAACTAGAAGCCTGTGTAAACCAAACACTCTGTAAACTAGAAGCCTGTGTAAACCAAACACTCTGTAAACTGAAAGCCTGTGTAAACCAAACACTTAACAAACTAGAAGCCTGTGTAAACCAAACACTCTGTAAACTAGAAGCCTGTGTAAACCAAACACTATGTAAACTAGAAGCCTGTGTAAACCAAACACTCTGTAAACTCTGAAGTCTGGGCAGTGTACCCTTCTACAAAGTAAATATTGCCGAGTCAATGGTACAAATGCAAATTCAGAAAAACACCATAAACCACACTAGATGACAAATTTCCATCAGATTGGGGGGCCTTGGTGAATGTAATATACATTAAGGTTAACATAATGTTTAGTTAAGGCAAGGAACCAGCTGTATCTAGTCAAGTCTATTATAAAATAAGGACAGACCCCATTCTGTGACAATAATAAGGTTTTTTTATATCATCAGGTATTATATTTCAATATAGCTATGAAATTTCATGGTCACGGCCACTCCGGGCGAGTCTGTATTGCATTAGGGAACATAGTATGCTTTTACAAAGCATGGTACATGTCTGGATTCCCCTGAATGATTTGCTTTGCGAGGCGTGATAATGTGAAAGTAGTTTCCCTGGTCAGCCTGAGAATGGCCACAGTCAGCTGGCGTACAAGTGATAATATGATAAATGCGATTAATACACCGATATTTACTATATGGGGTAGCCATCTTCAACACTGATTGAAACTAAATAAAGAGACAAGTTGAGAAACAGTTTCCTACAAATCAGGGAGAAAATAAATTTTTACTTCCAAACGATTCGTTGGGGTAACATTAAACCAACCGCTAATAAAATTTGACTACATTCATCGTTTTTGCGTGGACAATCCCTGTATATGAACATCTCATTACATGAAGAAAATAGAACACTTTCCCTTCTATACTGTTATATAGATTTACCCAGAGTGGGCGTGACCACAGGACGGCGCCAGCGAGATTCGAAAGCCAACCGTTCAGTCAAAACCAAAGCAGTTAGCCAATTCGCTAGCGAGTTTGCAAATTGGCTGCCCCAATACTTCTGAAACTTGCTGTAAAAACAGAGCTCAAGATAGAGACCAGCTCTGGGACTCAGAGCTAAACTAGCCTGGGTCAACAACGGCTTATTCCGTTCACACATGTTTTTCAACAGTGGGTTAAATTAACTCTGGGTCGAACCCTGCATAAACTACATCACAGAGTAATGGTTGGTCACCAGTCAGCTAAGTTATACTAAAATACATCACAGAGTAGTGGTTGGTCACTAGTCAGCTAAGTTATAATAAAATACATCACAGTGTAATGGTTGGTCACCAGTCAGCTAAGTTATAATAAAATACATCACAGAGTAATGGTTGGTCACCAGTCAGCTAAGTTTGGCGTTTTTGTGTGGAAAACTCCCTTGCATACGAACACCTAATTACACGAAGAACCTAGAACACTAAGCCGGGGTATTTAAAACCGAAATTGTCATCTAACTGTAAGGCCGTCACTGGGATGGCTGCTG